TGCACATCTAAAGCAGATCACTTCTGTGTCTCTTAGCATATTCAAAAGTAAAACAAGTAAGACAAAATCATCTACGTGACTCCACAGTCTATAATTCTGTAAATTATTAGCATTTTATCTTAGCCAGTTTGTTTTGAGATCACTGCTAAATAAAAGCAGCAACAGCATATAAGGAAGATGTAAACCATCTGAAGTACTCCATAAGAACATCAGCAGTGTTATGTACCGTTTCAGACTTTCAAATGTAAAATACCAGGGGGAAAAAAATGTCGATTCTAACTAAAGACTATCCAAACAATATTTTACCACACAGGCTCCTGGGCTAGGAAAAAAATGGTACAACATTATAAATGTTCAAGGAAAAATACCACCACAAAAATACCAAAATAAAAAACAGATGCTCCCATACAGTTATTGCTACATTACAGAAACTTTTCATAGTTCTTCAATAAGCCTAAGAAGTCCTGATAGAAAAAGAAACAAAATGTTTTCTTAATCATCTAAATGTATATTTTGTAACCTCAAACCAGAGGACAAAATGAGACAATCTACAGACAGAGTTATTTGTGAATATAATTGATCTGCTCCACTATGTTTTATGCTTTTCTAGCATTTAGTAATGTATGCTGAACATAAAAGGTATCTCGCACTGGTTGGACAAGTGAATGAACAAAAATATATGACTCTCTAACCCACAAATAAGGCTGTACATAACAAATTCTGATCAACCTTTACTACTTGTCTTGCACCACAGTCTAGTAAAATTCAAACTCTGAAGTAAAAGAACAGATGGAAGTAATGACAGAGAGAGATCTATCATTCTCAGGCATCAATAAAAATTTAAAATTAGGCCGGGCTCAGTGGCTCAGCCTGTAATCCCAGCACTTTGGGAGGCCGAGGTGAGTGAATTGCCTGAGCCTGCGGGTTTGAGACCCGCCTGGGCAATTTGGCAAGACCTCATCTCCACAATAAATCAAAACTGAGCCGGGTGTGGTAGCGCGCGCCTGTAGTTCCAGGTACTTGGAAGGCTGAGGTGGAAGGATCGCCAGAGCCCAGCAGGTCGAGGCTGCGGTGGCCAGAAGTGGCCACTGCACTCCAGTCTGGGCGACCGAGTGAGACTCCAACTCAAAAAAAAAAATTTTTAATTTCAACTCAAATAGATCACAGAATACAATTAAAATATAATAACAAAACAAATAGGCCAGGCGCAGTGGCTCCCGCCTATAATCCTAGCACTTTGGGAGGCCGAGGTGAGAGGGCTGCCTGAGCCCAAGGGTTCAAGACCAGCCTAGGCAACTTGGTAAGACCTCATCTCTACAATAAAAATGAAAAAATTAGCCAGGCGTGGTGGCATGCACCTGTAGTTCCAGCTACTTGGAAGGCTGAGGTGAAGGATCGCCTGAGCCCAACGGGTCGAGGCTGCGGTGGTCATAAGCGAGACACTGCACTCCAGCATGGGTGACAGAGTGAGACTCCAACTCAAAAAAAAAAAAAAAAAAAAAAACGCAAAAAAACTGAGAACAGCCTACCATTCACCTATATCAATTCCTGGTCTATCCAAAGTGCTTTGCTTTCTAGAACAGACAGCAATTGCAAGAAAACCTCATCTTTTCACACTTTTTTTTTAATGCTTTAAATTTTTTAAATCTAAACTTGCCTAACATTGGACAAGATTTTACTCAATTAAATTCAAAGCAATGTAAGTTAATTTCCACATTTCATGCTTTAAAAGAAAATTTAGAGAACAGTTAAACACAAGTTTTACTATGTTGTTTAATCCAACAAGACAACCAATTAAAATATATATTCCTCTAGAGGCCATGGAAAGAATCACAGCTATACAGATATGTCAGCAGATAATAGGTATATTCTGATAAAATGTAATGTGAATACATTTTTCTACTTAGAATCCTTCGCTCATTTAATAAAAATTGAAGTGTCAATATCCTTCTCTCTTTCTCTCTCTCAATCTCTCTCTCTCCCTACCTAGTCCCTTAAACATAAAGATAAAATCAGAGAAGGGCATATTCTGCTCTCAAGGAGATAAAATAAGAACATAAATACCTACAATACAAGGAAGAAAGTGTTAAGCACCAGGACAGGTGTGTAGAAAAAGCATTACAGGAGTCGAGAGAGTTGCTACCATCTCACAGAAGCACTGCCCTTTCAATGTGTTTAAAAAAATTTCATAACTGTTAACTCTCTTTAGGCTTAAATCAACCATAGGAGAGCAGATGTTTTCCTAATATTACAGATGAGGAAACTGAAGCACAGAAAGGTTGATCATGTTCCAAAATGTCACATAGTTACTTACAGGAAGAACCAACAGTTTGTATTTTATTTTCTCCAGGGGAGTAGCTCAACACATGGCAAGCCTTTTGTAAAAGGAAAGAGTATTCTGGTATTCTAAGTAATCACTTCCTAGTGTATATGTGTGTATATATATCTATATCATACATATACCTTGATTTCCATAACAGGTGTGCTTAAAGCAAAGCACAGCTACTGGGTACTATAAATATTAAAATAAACTTCCACTGGATTTTTAACAGAATGAGAAAACAAGATACAGGATTTCTCTCTCCTGTAACGTGTGATTACTTATCTGTAATTTTTACGCATGCCTAAAAAAAAATTCTAAAATTGGTCTGCTCGTGGGTCCAGGCAAGTACAAATTGGTTCATCCAATAAACATTTTCATGGAAAGGTACATCAAAACATGTTCAAAAAGTTATGAAAAATTAAATAATGCCATTAACTCTTCAGTTATCCACAGGACAATCACATGTGGCCCAGCATCAGCAGTTATTTATCAAGATATGTTGAACGAATGAATGGATCTTTTAAAATCCCGGGCCTGTTGCTCTTTGCACACTGCCATGTTCAGCCTCCCATCATTGCCTCACCAGGGTGCACACTAGGAATGTAAATTTCAATATAATTAGGATATAATTAGGGAAGCAAATCTGATGCAGGTTAATATACTAATCCCAAAGATTAGAATTACCCATACCACTACTCTGCAAGGTTAACTCTGTTGAAGAGGCACTGGGGCATGCGATAAAAGAAAACTGACACTTCCTGAGCAAATACTTTCCATAAATATCACTTATTCCCATCCACTCCTTTAATACGTGACTATTCCTGATTCAGTTAATCTGAAGAATTCTGTATTCTCTTTATGAAGGTGGGTTTCTCAACTACCGTTTCTCAAATCTCTCTCTCCCCAAAAAGGGGTGCACGCACCGACTTCGCACAAGAAAACACCCACAAAAAACAGCGGAAGGTATAAGATTCAGATCTTTGCCATCTCCACCACTACCCACCCTTCGCCATTACACCCTGAAGCGGTCTGGCTTAGAAAGGTGAACTAATTCACTCTTCACGCACTTGTCCATCGCTGTCACCCTCCCCAGCCCCTTTCACATTCCCAAGTCGGCCACCAACTCCGCCTCAGGGTGAGCCCAGGCCCGCCACCTGCGTCGGCCCCACCCGGGGACCGCCGGCCCTAGCCCTTTCCCTGGCTTGGCCCTGCAGGCTCCGCACGCCCCCTCTGCACAGGACACCCCCCAGCCAGCGCCCGCCCGGCCGCAGTCCATTCTTCCTCCAAACTCCATAAGCCTCCACTCGCCCAGCCCGAGCTCCCCGCCGCGCCCGAC